TGGGCAACTTGGCGAGACCTCATCTCTACAATAAATCAAAAAATTAGCCGGGCATGGTCGCGCGCCTGTAGTTCCGGCTACTTGGAAGGCTGAGGTGGAAGGATCACCAGAGCTCAGCAGGTCTCGAAAAAAAAAAAAGAAGCCAGGCTCAGTAGCTCAGCCTGTAATCCCGAGCCTTGGGAGGCTGAGGTGAGTGGATTGCCTGAGCTCATGGGTCCGAGACCCACCTGGGCAAGTTGGTGAGACCTCATCTCTACAATAAATAAAAAAATTAGCTGGACGTGGTAGCACACGCCTGTAATTCCAGCTACTTAGAAAGCTGAGGCAGAAGGATCGCCGGAGCCCAGCAGGTCGAGGCTATGGTGGCCAGGAGTGGCTACTGCACTCCAGTCTGGGTGACAGAGTGAGACTCCAACTCAAAAAAAAAAAAAAAGAAAAGAAAGGAAAAGAAAAATTAAAGAGCTAAAACTCTAAAATTCTTAGAAGAAAACATGGAGGAATCCTTCTGATCTTGGATTTGACAATGATTTCTTGAATATGACACCAAAAGCACAACCAAAATCTCTTCAAAAATGATAAACAAACGACCAAGTACATGCAAAGATTTGATATCACTGGTCCTTAGGAAAATGCAAAATATATTTTTTTTAGTTAGAGTATCACTCTGTCACCCAGGCTGGAGTGCAGTGGCATGCTCACAGTCACCACAGCCTCGACCTGCTGGGCTCAGGTGATTCTTCCATCTCAGCCTTCCAAGTAGCTGGAATTACAGGCAAGAACTACCACGCCTGGCTAAGTTTTTGATTTATTGTAAAGATGAGGTCTCACCAAGTAGCCCAGGCTGGTCTTAAACCTGCAGGCTCAGGCAATCCTCTCACTTTGGCCTCTCAAAGTGCTGGGGTTATAGGTGTGAGCCACTGCACCCAGAAGGAAAATACAAATTAAAACCACAATAAGATACCACATCTATGAGGATATAATAAAAATAAAGGGAAAATAACAGGTGTTGTTGATAATGTGGAAAAATCGGACATTGTTAATGCAATTATAAAATGCTCTGGCCACTGTGGAAAACAGTTTGGTGGTTCTTCACAAAGTTAAGAAGCATTGGCCAGGTGTGGTGGCTCATGCCTGTAATCCCAGCACTTTGGAACCTAGGGAGGAGTATTGCTTGAGCCCAGAAGTTCAAGACTAGTCTAGGAAACACAGAGAGACCTTGTCTCTACAAAAAAATAAATAAAAAATCTGCCTGGCATTGGTGGCACATGTCTCTAGTTCTAGCTACTTGGGAGACTAAGGTGGGAAGGACTACCTGAACCCATGGGGTAGAGTCTGCAGTGAGCTGTGATCATGCAACTGCCCTCCAGCCTAGGTGACAGAGTGAGATCCAACTCAAAAACAAAAAGTTAAAAAGAGTTATCTTATTTCCCAGCAATTCCACTCTTAGGAATGTACCCAAAAGAACTGAAAACAAGAACTTGAGCCAAGTACAGTGGTTGACGTCTGTAATCCCAGCACTTGGGAGGCTGAGATGAGAAGACTGCCTGAGCCCAGGGGTTTGAGATCAGAATTGCAACTTGGCAAGACCTCTTCTCTACAACAAATCAAAAAATTAGCTGGGCATGGTAGCACTTGCCTGTGGTTCCAGTTTCTTGGAAGACTGAGGCAGAAGCATCACCTGAGCCCAGTAGGTCGAGGCTGCAGTGGCCATAAGTATGGCATTGCACTCCAGCCTGGGTGATAGAGTGAAACTCCAACTCAAAAGAAAAAAAAATTAAAAAGTTTAGTGAAAAACTCAAAAACTTGTACATGAATGTCTATAAGCAGCTCTATTTCTAACAGCCGAAAGGTAGAAACAACCCAAATGTCCATCAACTGATAGATGATCAAAGGAAATGTGAACCATCCGTACAATGGAATATTATTCAGCCATAAAAGGGAATAAAGGTGGCTCATGCCTATAATCCCAGCACCTTGGGAGGTGAAAGTGAGAGAGTTACCTGAGCCCAGGTGTTTGAGACCAGCCTGGGCAACTTGGTGAAACCTCATCTCTACAACAAACCAAAAAATTAGCCGGGCGTGGTAGCATGTGCCTGTAGTTTCAGCTACCTGGAAGACTGGGAAGGGAAAATCACCTGAGCCCAGCAGGTCAAGGCTGCGGTAATCATGAATGTGCCACTGCACTCCAGCCTGAGTGACAGACTACGACTCAAAAAAAAAAAAAAAGGATCTAGCAGTTAACAAGAGAATGCCTTGACAACATGCCACTAAGGGTCCCTGAACCTAGTAGGGGTGAGTGTGAGGGCAAGATTCCTTGAAGATACATTTAAGCAGCCTCTCTCCTCCAGCTGCTCAAGATGCCCAAAGAAAAGACAGGCCAAGGGTCGAATGGACCTGCTTTAACCAGTTACAGCAGCAAAAGCCTATCCTCTGTAAGTGGTTCAAGTATCTCCTGAGATTAACCAGTTCACCCAGGACTTGGAGTGCCAAACAGCTACTTCACTGCTTAAGCTGGTCCACAAGTACAGACCAGAAGCAAAGCAAGAGAAGAAGCAGAGACTGCTGGCCCAGGGTGAGAAGAAAGCTGCCTGGTAGAGAACAAGAAGGCTCAACTGTCAGAGACTGCATATGATACAGATCCCATCAAACTGGCTGTCTTCCTGTCTGTCCTGCATTGTAAGATGGGGGGTGGGGCTCCCTACTGTCCTGACAAGGGGAATTCAAGACTGGGACATTCAGTCCACAGGAAGACCTGCACCACCACAGACTTCACACAGGTTAACTCAGAAGACCAAGGAGCTCTGCTAAGCTAATGGAAGCTATCAGGACCAATTACAATGACAGATATATGAGATCCACTGTCACTGGGAAGGCAATATCCTGGGTCCAAAATCTGCAGCCTGCATTGCCAAGTTGGAAAAGGCAAAGGCTAAAGAATTTGCCACTAATGTGGGTTAAATGCAGTGTTGTTTCCTGTACACAAAAATAATAAAATCTCCCAGGCCCCAAAAAGCCTTTCCGTTTGACAGGAACCACCAATTCTTCCAGTATTCACAATAACTAACACAAAGGAAAGAGCAGAGGCATCTGATATATGTTTTCCAAGCTCTTTATAAAACATTGAGTTGTTCCTTTGGTCACATATGTACAAGCAAGGTGATGATACTGTAGACATCAAGGGAAGGAATCCCCTACAAATGTTACTATGGCAAAACTAGAAGTGTTTTGTTACCCAGCCTGCAGTTAGCATTGCTGTAAACAAGCAAGTTAAGGACAGGATTCTTGCCAAGAGAATTAATGTCCTTACTGAGCATACTAAGCACACTAATAGCTGAGATAGCTTCCTGAAATGTATGAAGGAAAGTGGTTAAAAAAGGATGCCAAAGCAAAAGCTACTTGGGTTTAACTGAAGCACCAGCCTTCTCCACCCAGAGAAGCATAATTTCTGAAAACCAATGGAAAGGAGCCTGAACCTATTCCCTATGGATTAATGCATGGCATGACAAATGTAAATAAAGGACCTAGGGACAGTTAAAAAAAAAAAAAGACAAAGAATTTCAGCAGAATCTTGAAGGATAAAGAAGTCGGGTGCAGAAAGACTATTCTCAAGAGGCCAAGGGCCCCAGAAGCAGGCAACCTTGGGGCTGGCCACCAGGACTTCTGATCCTGGAAAGACGTGCTGCTGTCAGTATCCACACAGCCTTGGCTTCCACTCCCACGATCGCTGGAAAGGAACTAAGGACCCTGGGATCTGTAAAGAAAAAGGAGCAGGGAACTTCTTTCTGCCCGGGCTCTTGCAAACGTTCTCCAGAAAACCATTTCCCCAGTCTCAACCAAGACCCAAATAACAGCCAGTGCCCGAGGCGGTTCCGAGGATAAGACAAGCTCGGGAACGATGCTGAAGGCAAGGAAACCAAAAGATTTTCAAGCAAATAAATGAAACGTCTTAACCACATTTTTAAACGCTCATTAGTCCGAGGAGAGCCTGGGGCCTGGAAGGGCCGGCAGGCCACTGCCACAGTCCCAAGAGAGGCGGCGAGGCCTCAGAAACGGGACACAGTCTTCATCTCGATTCCGGGCTCCCACTACACCGTCCCGCTCCGCCGGACTCCCTCAAGGAGCGCAGCTGCCGGGAAACGCGCTTTTCTTACCCGCCTCATGCGACCGTTGGACAGCAAGTCGGCGATCCCTTTGGCCGCGTCGTTTTTCTCAGCCACACAGAGGACTTTCCGCACACCTCGGAAGGCCACCTGCATGGCGGCGCGGGACAAGGCACGGCCTCCGGGCTGTTGCAGCCACCGGAACGCGTAGCGGGCAACGGGGAAGATCATCCCTAGGCCCCGCACCCGCAGTCGCTCCCCGGGTGCGGCCGCATGCTGGGGAAGCCAGAGGCGAGGTCTGCCCGGTGCAGCCCGTGAGAGAGCGAAAGCCTCCGGGAGTCGCCCGCGCTCCAGTCACCCCTCCACGAGCCTGCTGACCTCAGCAGCTGCAGTCGCGGTGCCTTCCAAGTGCCGCCACCGCCGCTGAGCCGGACACCCGCACCGTGGCGTCCGACTTCCGCCCGCCTTCTCGGGCCACTTCCGCCAGGCGCGGGTCCTACTGCCACTGCGAACTACGACTCCCAGACTGCCCCGCGCTCCCGGAACCCTAGCGCAAGCACGTTTCTATCCCTGTCTCCCGCCCTACTACCGCTCCACTTTCCCTTCTCTGCAGATAGTGGTTGGTTCATCCTTGGGAGGAGCCGCTGGACAGTCCCGTCCAAGGCGCTCTCTTTCTCACAATTTTTCTCCTGCTCGGAAGTCTACGCGGACCCTTCCGGGTCACGCGACGCCGACACCAGGAGTCATGTGACACTAAGATGGCGGCGCCGCGGTAGCTGGTTCCGAGTTGTGGCGTCCTAGGAGCCAAGACGGTTTCTGTCCTCTGGTCGTGGGAGCGGCAACGCTTGGCTGACCGCTGCGGCGGCCCGTAGCCTGCCTCAGGCACCCGTTCAGGGCTGAGGCTGTTGCTGTCACGGTGGGTTGGGGAGTGCAGGTGACCTCGCTGCATGTTCCTTGTGCCTGCCGCGCTCTCCGGAGGAAGAAGAGGAGGAGGAAGAGGACATCCAGCCACCCCGGTCTTGGTGTTCATAAGACCTCCGAGGGCTCCGAAGGAGCGACACCTCTGAGGGGGCTGCAGACGTTCGAGTCCTCGGGTGTGTGAGAAGCGTCCTAGGAAATCGCGGGGCGCAAAGAAGGGCGCAAGAACTTCGCTTCCTAACTCAGAGGCCTGGCTTTTCTGCGTCGATTATCCCCGCATTCTTTCTCACTTCCTCTCAATGATTTCTTCGTATATCTGGAAATATGATCAGCGCCCCTGACGTAGTGGCCTTCACCAAAGAGGACGAGTATGAGGAAGAACCTTACAATGAGCCAGCTCTTCCGGAGGAGTATTCTGTGCCGCTCTTCCCCTTCGCCATCCAGGGTGCCAATCCATGGTCCAAACTGTCCGGGGCCAAGTTCTCGAGGGATTTTATTCTTATTTCTGAGTTCTCCGAGCAGGTGGGACCCCAGCCCTTGCTGACCATCCCCAATGACACCAAAGTTTTTGGCACTTTTGATCTCAATTACTTCTCCCTGCGTATCATGTCCGTGGATTACCAAGCTTCCTTTGTGGGCCATCCTCCTGGTTCTGCCTACCCTAAGCTGAACTTCGTGGAGGACTCCAAGGTAGTGCTGGGAGACTCGAAGGAGGGAGCCTTTGCATATGTGCACCATCTTACCCTGTATGACCTGGAGGCCCGTGGCTTTGTGAGGCCCTTCTGCATGGCTTATATCTCGACTGACCAGCATAAAATCATGCAGCAGTTTCAGGAGCTTTCTGCTGAATTTTCCAAAGCTTCTGAGTGTTTGAAGACAGGCAATAGGAAGGCATTTGCTGGGGAACTTGAAAAAAAGCTGAAAGACTTGGATTACACCAGGACAGTGCTGCACACAGAAACAGAGATCCAGAAGAAAGCCAATGACAAAGGCTTTTATTCATCTCAGGCAATTGAGAAAGCCAATGAACTGGCCAGCGTGGAGAAGTCCATCATTGAACATCAAGACCTGTTGAAGCAGATCCGCTCATACCCTCATCGGAAGTTAAAGGGGTCTGATTTGTGTTCTGGTGAGGTAGAGCACACCCAGGACCAGGTCATCCAGGCATCCACTACCTCTAACCATGATGAGTATGCTGACACAGACCTTTACACCTGCAGACCAGCCTACACCCCAAAACTCATCAAAGCAAAGTCCACCAAGTGTTTTGACAAGAAGTTGAAGACCTTGGAGGAGCTCTGTGACACTGAATATTTCACCCAGACCCTGGCTCAGCTCAACCACATTGAGCACATGTTCAGAGGAGACCTGTGTTACCTCCTGACCAGTCAGATTGACAGAGCACTTCTAAAACAACAGCACATAACAAACTTCCTCTTTGAAGACTTTTTGGAGGTCGATGACAGGATGATGGAGAAACAAGAGAGCATACCCTCTAAGCCCAGTCAAGAGAAGCCACCTTCCAGGTCTCTGGAAGAATGCCCAATTCCTAAAGTGTTAATTAGTGTTGGTTCTTACAAGTCCAGTGTAGAGTCTGTGCTGATCAAGATGGAACAGGAACTTGGAGATGAGGAGTACAAGGAAGCAGAGGTGGCAGAATTAAGCAGTTTTGACCTGCAGGAAAACTTGGACTATCCGGATATGGATATGAAAGGGAGTATCAGCAGTGGTGAAAGCATTGAGGTTCTGGGCACAGAGAAATCCACCTCTGTGCTGTCTAAGTCCGACAGCCAGGCCAGCCTTACAGTACCATTGAGCCCCCAGGTGGTCCGGAGCAAAGCAGTCAGCCACAGGACCATCAGCGAGGACAGTATTGAAGTCCTCAGCACCTGCCCCTCTGAGGCCCTCATCCCTGACGACTTTAAGGCCAGCTACCCAAGTGCCATTAACGAAGAAGAAGCATATGCAGATGATAATGAGGGAGCCATCCAGTTCCAGGCAAGCATCGGCCCTGCAGAACTGGATGAGGCAGAGGAGGGCAGCTTAGAAAACACCCTGTCACAGATAGACTCCTCCTGCTGTATTGGGAAGGAGAGCGACAGTAGGCTGGGGCCGCTCTCCACCCCATCCCACACAATCTCTGATGAGGATGGAGTGGTGAGCATCGCCCCACAGCGCCACAGACAGAAGGACCAGGGGTTCCATGTGGACTTTTCGGTGGAAAATGCAAACCCTTCTTCCCGAGATAACAGTTATGATGGATTCCCCACCTATGAACTGGACCCAAGCCACTTGCTGGCCAGCCGGGATGTGAGTAAGACCAGCCTGGACAACTACTCAGACACCACCAGCTTCGTGAGCAGCGTAGCCTCCACCAGCTCAGACAGGAGCCCCTCCTCTGCTCATCCTGCTGGCCTGTCTTCTGAGAGGCATAGAAAGAGGGCTGGCCAGAACGCCTTAAAATTCATCCGCCAGTACCCCTTTGCTCACCCCGCCATCTACTCCTTGCTCAGTGGGAGGACACTTGTGGTCCTGGGGGAAGATGAGGCCATAGTCAGGAAGCTCGTGACAGCGCTGTCCATCTTTGTCCCCAACTATGGCTGCTACACCAAGCCCGTGAAGCACTGGGCCTCCTCCCCTTTGCACATTATGGATTTTCAGAAGTGGAAGCTTATTGGCCTGCAGAGGTAACTGGTTCTTGGTGGTGGGGGTGGGCCCTGGCCCGTTAAGTTGAGACAGGTTGGTATGGTAAAGCCAGAATCAGGATGCCTGGTTTCTAGATGGGGCCCAGCCTCCAACTCACTGTGTTACTTTTGGTAAATCATTCACCTCTCTGGCTCAGTTTCTTTGTCTACTCTTAATTGTAAGGAGGCTGCAGTTCCTAAGTAGGTGCCAACCTGGTGTGTCTTCCTGCTGTCAGAATTATTTGGGAGAATGTTTAAAATCATGGATTCCTGTCTGCTCCTGAGAAAAGGAGAGTGAGAGTGATAGGGAAGTGCAGGGGACATCTAGGAGCTCCTGTGACTTTGACTCCACTGTCCTGTTAGCTATCGAAGCCTGTCTTAACAAGGAAATGCAAGAGCGAATGCTTTCTCCCTCCCTTTGAGTGCTTTCTGTGTCATTTTCCCATGTTACTTGTGCATTCTTCTGTCCAAGTACTGCTTGACAGGTTACGGCTGGCTCATGGGACTCTCAGTGTGTGCCTTGTGATCGGTTTTCGTTTAGTGACCCTAGGCAAGTCACTTTCCTTCTCTGCTCTCTGTTTTCTAATTCATGACAAAGGTACCGAGCTAGGTGATCATCAAAGTGCCTCTGACAGACAACAGTCTACTACTTTCCATGCCACACAGACAGGAAAAAGAGGAATTCCTTCCGTACTGTAGCTTGTTTTAATTTTTCTGATTTACATGGGTCACTAATATCAGTGAGGTCACCACCTCCCAAGTCTCCTTGTGTCTGTCCCTCATGGAGGTCACGTGGCCCTCACTCTAACCCTTGCTATACTGGATTTTACCCGGGATAGTGGTGGTGGCGTTCAATAAATGCCGCTTCCATGTTTTCACCTGAATCACTTGTTGAGAGTCCACTCCAAGCTGAGCTGGCAGGTACTGGGAACCAGCTGGAGGCACCTGAGCAAGGGTACTGCTCTGGAAGAGTTCATAGTGCAGGAGAAAAGACAGATGACCTGAGCCTTGCCATTTCAGGAGAGTTCTAACAGTGGGATGCTTCTTATGTTCTAAGAAAACAGAGCCATTTAGTACACATTGGAAGGGAGGGATACCATGCCAGAGGTCTTGGGTCTTTGGCTTGAGTGACCAGGAGGGAGCATTGCCAGTCACCGAGTCAGGAAGCACAGTGTGGGCCAGGCATGGGGGAGGGTACTGAGGTGGGGACTTGAGATAAGAAACACCTGGGAGGTGTCTAGGTGAGCCTGTTTCTTGGGCATCATAGGGAAACCGACCTATTCTTGTGGACTGAGGCTCAGTGGGTAAGGGGAGCACACTGGGCTCCCTCCCAGGACCCTTTGCCCCATATTAACGCCACCTACCTCTATGCTGTCCAGGTTTAGTCAGTCTGTCCCTGACAGGAAAAGCTTTTCTGGGTTGTTTTTGCTGCTGTTTTTTGTGGAAGGATGGGTTGGTTTCCCTTAAGCATGTCTTTCTTTTCTCCAGCTTACTCCCTTCACCCCAATTCTTGGTCTTTAGCTTTGTTTTTTCCCTCAAAAGGTTGAGAATCTAAAAGACACAGGGAGGTGCAGCTCATCAGTATATCAACATAAACCGGGCTTGGTGGCTCAGCCTGTAATCCCGCACCTTGGGAGGCTGAGGTGAGTGGATTGCCTGAGCCCACGGG